CTCAGCGAAGGCGCTTGATCAGTGTTGACACCTGCAAGCGAAAGCAAGGCTGCGGGATGATATAGGACTGCCAGAAGTTGCTAGATGAGGAGTTGCCCACTGTGTCTTACAAGCTCTGTGTGATCGATCGTTATAGTGCAACCAGCAGTGTCACATAACAACGTCCACGGTCTGCCACAAGTAGACAAGACACATTTTATTGCGTTTTGACAGCAGACCGATTTGCGTTGATTTAGACAATGCTATACTGTGTTGACTATTCAGGGAACAATGACAAACTTTTTAATGTAAACTAGAACATCAGAAAACGCCAACAAATGCTGGGGTTAGTTTGCAACATCCTGTAAAAGATTTGCAACTATCTTTCATTATTATAATTATTACTTCTATTTTTATTACTATTATTATTATTAACAAAAAACAATGGACTGTGTTGCGTGGACAGGGTGAATCGGGAAGGGAATGATAATGAAGAAAAATATAATTCAGAAAGGAGGAGAGCTGAGCGTCTGAGAAGAAAAATAGATAAACAATATGATTGTCAACAACGGCCCAGAGATCCCTTGCTCTAATTGTTGAGGAATTTTGATAGAGCAGGGAGGTCTTGCTAGTCACACTCGCCATCGCCATGAGCTGAGAGTTCCAAGCCTCCTGTGCACAGTATAACACTGTCGTCTGAAAAGACGGGAAGGTCCCAGCTAATTATTATTATCGTCATTATTATTATTATTATTATTATTATTATTATTATTATTATTATTATTATTATTATTATTATTATTATTATTAGCGCCCATTGTTTCTACAGAGTAAAAATGGATTGAATGAAGTCTACAGACTTGTTTGTTTCCCGGAGAGCCACAAAAGAGACTTCACAGGAACGAAAGTAAACATGCAGCTCCAGCTATTCAAGCGACAAAGAAGGCCAAGTGTGTGAGACCGACAATTGTTAGATAACTTTACATACGGATTTACGATTTTATTTACAATTAATTGTTTACATAGTTTACAGTGACTTTTATAAACTGTTTGGGTGATTCATAATTACACACTGACTATACAGTTGTTGTCTCCTGCAGTTTTTTATTTTCTTTTATTTTCGTGTGCAGTGTTATTTTAGCAATAATTTAATACTAGTAAGTCGGCTATGTGGCTAAGTCGATAAGAACGCTTCGTAAGGCGGGGGTGCCGGGTTCGATCCCAGCTGCAGGCCTTGCGCCTTGCGTTAGTTTCGACAGTGGTATCAGGGGACCGACCGTCCAGTGGGCAACGGCAAACTACCGGACGTAAATTTGCCTAGAGAAACCACACAACAGCCAGGGGCTGCTGGGTTTGCTTCTGCAACGTCCTGTAAAGGATACGCAACTAACCTAATACTAGCAAAACACGCTGAGAAAGTTGGAGACAGGCATACGCCGCTCAGAGTCACAGACATCACTTCAGAGGTCTACGGTAGCTAGCGTCCTTGAGATATTTTCTGGAGTGTATACAGGTGTACTGGGGCATACACAGGCAGGCTGGCTGGTGGTGGGACTGCAGCAATGGGTGGGGGACTTGATGCCTGAAACACTAGATGTGGTCAAGATCCTCTAGGAGCAAGTAAACAATGCAGAAGCGTGACAAGACTACTACATTGTAGAGGGAATGGTGCAGCAAGGGAGTGACCACAGAATTTGGTCGACACTCAGAGGAGAGACAAGATTGACATACAATCAAACTGTACATTCGGATTCCAAATTTTTCTCTGACTTCTTCTTCTTCTTTCTTCTTTTGTCAAAATCTGCTTGTGCCGCTAGGCGTCGCAGTCTATCAGATGATCGGCACCGAGCCAGGGCGCGCTCAGTCGCTTCATATGCCGTGATGTTATGAAGTCTCAAGTTGTCCGTGACTTCTCTAATCCATCTTCTTCTTGATCTTCCCCTGCCTCTTGGTGTTTCGATTTTCATGTTGTATGCTCTTGATGCTGGCCTCGTTGGTTCCATTCTCATTAGATGACCAAACCATTTCATTCTTTGCTTCTCAATAAATTTAACGATGGGTATGGTTCCAATAGTTCTTGTAATCACATCGTTTCTCACTCGATCTCTTCTGGTTTTATTCGCAGCCATTCTCATTCTTGAGGATAAATCTGTGTCAGGTCCAACGAATCGGCAGTGGATTTAAGAGTTCACAAAAATCTGCTCTAGAAACAATATATGAGATTAGAAAATCCATCAAACGTTTCTCTGACTGCTTGCTGAAAATGAGAACAGTGTTCGTGTGGGAATGTTCCGAGTGTTGTGATGTCTGTTCTTGCCTCTACACAACGGGATACTTTATTTAATATTTTCTTTATCAAAATTGTGTTACAAATGTGGAGATGTGGATATTAACAGTCAGTCAGTAGCATGACCTTTGCAAAACCTTGATCCCATAACAACCCTCAAGAAAACCTATCGATCACAAGCAAGAAGTCTTGTATCCAATACACCCATCTGGAGATCATCTGCCACATCCTGCGCCCATCTTCTCTTTGGCCTTCCTCTTCCTCTCTTCCCATTCATATACTCTTTTATTGTTGTTCTCTCTAAACTTTCGTGACGTTTCAAGTGACCAAAATATTTTAATATTATGTTCCTCAGTTTGAATAATGGGAAGACAGAAGAAATTGTGGTATCAAAGAAACGAATTATTCCTAAGTGTGTAATAAAAGTTGATGGTGTTATTTTAGGACAAGTACAGAAATTTCTAATGACTGCAGAAGTTAAGGATGCAATACATCATATGAAGAAAGGAAAAGCA